CTGTATTAAAAGGGCCTATTTTTACAATTTTTGAAATCATTTTAAAAATGGGCCCTTTTGATACGGAACACTCCATATAGTACGTACAACAATTTTTTATAGACAAGTTTAGATTAAAATCAATATATTAATTTGGAATGTGTTTTTTTGAATTTTAATTCGAACTGCTGTCGAACAAAGACTGGATAGCCAATCCAGTCCTTAATCATTTTTTTATACGTGTGCAATCCGTTGTTGAGGTACATTAAATAAATCAGTACGCCAAAGGTAATTCCAAAACTATACAATTGTCACACCTCTAAGATTTTTACGTGACCGTATAAGCTTATGTGTGGGGATAAAATAAATTCTGTTTAAGTAGTTTTCTAAATTTCTTTCCTATTAAAGAGCTAAGTCAAATCTAATTTTTTCAAACTTTGAACAAGAATATTTTAACATTTAATTATTCAAAATCAATAAAAATTGTTTTTTATTTTAATTCTATAAATTAATATCATAGAATTAAAATAATCTTTTTTTTTTTATTAATTTTCGAATAAGTAATCATTAAGATATCTCATTTTACCATTTTATTTAAATGTATATCACCAATGGAATGAATAGACTTTATTAATTGATAAAATTTTGTCAATGGATACGTATATTCATTGCTAACCCTACCTACTCCCATATACATAATCACGTCACAAGCTTAATGATAATTGTATGCGTAATTCTAATTTTAAATTTATCTAAAAAAATAAATAAAATTGTCTGTTATTCGTTATACACACACAGCACGTACGTACAGTACGTACGTACGTACGTACTTGATCGTTAAAATCGTTCAAAAATTCAATATGGTTCTTTACATATCTGATATGCTATTTCGCAGTGTAACTTATATGGCAACATTTGGTATGCTTCTCATATTCATAGCTCCTAGTGCATTATTTAAAAAGAATTATTATTATTATGATTATTATTATTTTAATTATCACGATAAACATCTTAATAATGGATATTTTCATAATAATTTGTAAATTGAGTCATCAAATGAAGTTACCGTTTTAGAATTTGTCACACACGTTTAATCGTTTAATCTGAAACTTTCTTTAACGTTAATGTTCTTGTAAAATACAATATATGTTGCAAATCTTCTCTTTAATAAGATGATGAATAATACGTAGCAATAATAATTGTAATAATAGTATGAGAGAAAATAAACCCATCTTTTCGAGAATTGTATTTATAAGGTTTAAACTAATAGTTTGTAACATTAAAGAAATTGATACATACTGTACGTAAACATACTGTAATCTGGAGAATACAAATAGTTTTGGATCAACAATTAACCAATAAATAATAATACGATTACATTTAGCACATGTATTCGAAAATATAATATGATGGTCCAATTGAATATTAGTTATTTAACGAAAAAAAAAAACTTCAACTTTCCTTTAACAAAGTTCTTGTCTTATTGATATGACACTGTCACTGAAAATTACAAACAGTAGGGATTACCCATGTGTGACCCCGAACCCCTTCGGCAATGTACTGTAAGCTACCTTAACAATAAAAAATAAAAAAATAAAAAATATATATTAGCTTTAAACCTAACTCTAAAATTAAAAAATTAAATTAGTAATCTTTCAAAAAATAAAAAAATATTGTATAATGCTTAATTTTGAAATATAAATAGTTTATATTACAAAAAAATTAAATGCAAAAAATTTTTTTGCTGATGAGCTATGCTACGTATTATAAATTTGATTTACTTTATAAAAAATTCTATCATACGTACTTTGATATAATTTTTTTTTTTTTTTGCTATTTTTAGCTTAATATGAATTTTAATTAGAAAATTTATTTTATGCATCTAAAAATTTGAAGACGCTTAAACCTATACCCATTATAATTCGATATACATATTGTATAATGTTTAGTTATTTTTGTTCTAATATTATTATTATACACGAGTTTTATTAGGGTTATTAATGTCAAAGGAAGAAACTGAAACATTAACATCCTCTGGACTAAAATCACAACCGGCAAAATCTAAAAAATATCTTGTTAAACTAGTAGAAGTTCTATTATCACAAGGAGCTATACCATTAATCAAAGCTTGACTCACATTTTCAGGACCGATCAAATAAGATGAAGTTAAAAAGTCTTTTAGAAGGCTGAGGCTCTAAATATGAGGAAA